ACGCTGAGGGCGCCTGCTCCAGGGAAGGTCCGGCCCTGCCCCAATGCCGGGGAGGTGTCATCCCTGGTGGCACAGTCCCCTCCCCGCCGCCCCTCCCTCTCTTACCCATCTCGTTGAGGCTGGCGAAGCCCGGGGCGATGGGGGTGTGTTTGGGGGATTTGCCCAGGTTGGGGGCACTGGATGACCACTGTTTGCTTCCTTCTCCCAGCGCCTTGAGCCTGCAGGGCACCAGGATGGGCGTTGGCCTCTCTGGCGTGGGCGCGGGCCGGGTACTGCCCAGCGCTGTCCCCCCAGTACCTCTCTTCCCCGCCAGCCCGCTCCTTCTGCAGAGTAGAGCTGGGCCCCCAAGTCCGGCCCTTCTTCTTGCCCCCAACCAGCTCTTCCTTCTTTGGGGGCCCACCGCGGCCCCATGTCCCGCTGCCACTGCTGCTGCCGCTGCTGCTGCTGCCGCCCCCACCGTCCACGGGAGTCACTGGAACGAGAGAAGCCACTTGGCTCCGGGGCCTGGGCGTCTGTGCCCACGGGCCCGGGCTGCACTCTCCTCAGCTTGGGTTCACCCTCCTCCCAGAACCGCTGGGTCCTGCGCCCCCGGGGCCCCACCTCCGCTCTCGGCCCTTCCCTGCTCCAGAGCCTCCCGCTGCTCCCACTGCTCTCGGGGCAGAGGCCCCTGAGGCCCCTCCTAGTGCCCGCTCTGCCACGTCTCGCTTCGCACAGCCTCGCCCTCCACTGTCCACTCCTGCCCCAGCCCACTGGCACATGGGCAGGCCCGTGGCCGGGGCTGAGAACACACAGCCGGCAAATAAACCCCCGCCCTTGGGGCTGCGTGCTCCGGTGGAGACAGGGGTCCGGCAGTCAGGCAGGCCAGAGGCCGGAGGGGTGAGGGGGTGGGAGCCTGGGAGCTGCGAGCGGCCGAGAGGGCCAGGGCGTCCGCAGGACCTCAAAGTTGAGGAGACTGGAGCAAAGACCGCAGGGGGCCAGGCAGTGAGGGACGGGAGCAGGGGAGGCGGGCCGAGGCGGGGCCAGGCCAAGGGAGTGGGGCTCCGCCCGCACCCCCTGGCACAGGCTGTGCCTGCCCTGGACTCGTCCCCTTTCCCTTCCTTTCTCGGCCTGGCTGGCTGCTTGGCCGTCAAGCCTCCTGCGCCGACCAGCTCGTTCTCCGGGGCCGTCTGCTCTTTCTGCCCCCACGACACTCTGAACGCGCGCCCACGCCAGTGGCAGTCATTTGTCTTGGCGTCCCCCAAGAGAGACCCCGGCCTGGGGCAAAGCGAGCACGCAGGCGGAAGGGCGGGGGCGCGGGAGGGGCCGGCGTGAGCCAGGCGCAGACCAGGCTCAGGCTGGGCC